ATATTAACTGCTTTTCTTTATTTTTTTTTTTTACTGGCTGTTTTGTGTTTGATTTACTCTTTTTCTTTCTCTCTGATTGTCTGTCTGTCTCCCTCAGCTGCTCCTTTTAAATCTTAGCTCATCTTTAAATTTATGGAGCCAGAACACTTATCTCTGTGTACAAGTATCAATATGCTGACCTTGCATTTGTTAATAGTCAAATTTTTTCGTTGTTGTTGCAGTGTTACGTGCCATATTTACAGTAGGCAATTCAATACATTTGCACTGGGAAACAGTCCCCCTGAGGCTTGTAAACTTTGAAAAGATTTTCTTTTTGCACATCCCTTTAGAAATAAAATTCAAACTTGCAGCAGTGTGTACCATATGTTGCACTTAATTTGATGACTTCTGCATATGAAATAGCCTTACCGCTGTTGTAGATACCCTTTGAATTGAATGGGTTTGACCTGAGAAAGAAAACAGATCCCTTTTTATTTATGGTGGACTTGAAATTTCGTGACCCTTTTTTTGTTGGCAATATTTGTGTGTGTTCAGGCAATGCTGGTTTTTTGTTGTTTGGTTTTTTTTTCTAGTTGGCAGAGGGATGGGCAGAAGGAAAAGGGGAGAAACATAATCTGAAAATAAATGCAAACTCTGTTCCCAATCTTGCTGCTTGTTCCTCTGCATCTTTGAGCAACTCAGATTTTTATTTTTTTTGTTTTGATCCTCTGTCTCTAAAATGACAGTTAGAAACCTCTGTCCAGACGGTTCTTTCTGCAAAAGTGGTTCTTGAATGCATCCTGTGTGTTATTCAGTAGGAAAAGGATATAGGCTTTGTGTGGTTTTACAGTGTACTTTTTGCTGATATTTATGATATTCCATTCAATATTTCATCCAAGTGAGAATAAAATACACTGTATATCCAGTTCTGAAAGCCAGCTCGGTTTTTACTAGCCGTGCGATGTGGTAACTTCTGACAAGAAGCAGAAACGCGATTGCAGAGGGGAAACGAGGTTTTTCACAAAGCAGTTGTCGGCTGGCTTTCAGCCAGGACAGTGGGTTGAACACCCCTGCTCTTGTTGAAAGTACCACAGGCTCTTTGATAACAAGTGCTTGGGGATTTGTTGTTTTAATGTTCCATCCAAAAAGGACATCTCCAACAACACAGGATCCCGAAACACCTGCTGGGGTATTGGACATGCATGGAAGAGTTCCATCAACAGCATTTCCTTCAGTTCCTTGGTTTTTCTTGGAAGTATCTCAACCAGAGTACATCGACCACGCTTGACCTCACTTAGCTGCAAGATGTAAGAAAGCTCAGAGCTTAGCTATTCTGGCTACAGAGACTTTAATTCCTCGTGAATTAATTTAGTCTTCTTTCTTGAGTTCTTGGACAGTATTTAAAGAGAGTTCCCCGTACCCGCTGCTCTGCAGTTTCCTGAAGTATTTTTCCTTTCTTCCTCTGCCTGGTCTCATGAATTTGCCAGCTTCTCAGCGCATCTATCTGAGAACAGTGGCCACAGGTTGAGACTTGCCCAGCTCGGGCAGTAAAGAGGGAAATTAGTCTAATGCACTGCCTTAACAAAAGAGAGAGTATGAGCATGAATAATTAATACCACTAGTCTGTGGCAATCGGATAAAATGAAGTCCCATTTGCTCAGCCTTATTAAAAGAGAGAGAGAGAGAGAGGGAGAGATGGTAAAGGTCGTTAAGGGACTTGTAACATGGAAAGAATCGCCTCTGAGATGGATAATGTGTTTTCTAATCTCTGTGGTCTTTAACTAAACATAATGGTAAAGGTACTCTGGCTATTTCTGGCTTGTTGAATTATTAAGCATTCTGGGAGATTGCTTGGCTCTTATCCAATAACTTAGACTTTTTCATTTGAACAGCGTTAATAGGTAACACTTTTTATTTTGTGCGTTAGATCCTGATACATCTGCACGGAGTATTTAATGCTTTTCCTCCCTCGTGTCCCAGAAGCCCCGCTGGAGCAAGGGATGCTCGTTAGTGTGTTATCCCAAGATACTTCATTTCACACCCAAATGCTCTTGCTTCGCTTACCTTCAGTTTGGTACCTATTAGGTCACTGGTCCTGGGTGTCCATTATAGGATTATAAATATCTTTAAAAGGGTAATCCCTTTGCAGTGTGCATTATAGGATTATAAACCTCCTAAAGATCTTATGCTTTATCTGCCCTTTAACATGCAGGCCCTTATTTCAAGTCCCTATCGACCAGGTATTTTCATTCTTTCTCCTTGGCCTTTGTAAAGAAAATCCTTGTTGCCTTGGGATATTATAGGAGAGCTCATCAGTGTGTTCTGGCAACTTCAAAATTGTCATCAGTATGCTTTTGAAAGCCCTGTCTTCAGGAAATTACTATTCAGACTTCAAAAAAGCATTCTCAGTTCCTTTTTGTTTCTTTACCTATCGGTTTGTCAGGATAAGGTTTTGAAATGTATTTGCAGATCGTAAAACTACTCAAGGCAGAAGTTGAATTTAAAGATAGGTAAAAACTTGATTACCAGAAATCACAGGGAGAATCTTTCTTCCAGTGATAGGGCTAACTGGCTAGAAATACACATGGGCATTATAAAATAAAAAAAACCAAACCAGCAATTTTTAAAAGAATGGAGACTGACGTGAGAAGAGAAGGAATTGGAGGGGCCTAGGAGAAGATGATAAAAGACAAAAGCTTTTTTTCCATTTTTGTGGATCTGAACCTTTCTTACAGATTCTTTTTCTTAGATGCAAGCACTTTAAATTGGTGGCCACCTACAAGTTATGGTAGGAGAAATAAATAATTTTTCGGCTGGTGCTACCTACACGTGAGGATTGCCACAGGTCTAAAATTGAGACTGCAAGCAGGAGAATATGTCACATTTGCTCCCGAGTAAGACGGGGGGAATCTTTAAATGCTACGGGGAAGCGATTTTTCATTATAGCCTTTCATGGCCATAACTGAATTTTCAAGTATGTATCATATATTTATAGGATAGGTGGGAGCTATGGTCACTTAGATAAATTAATAGTTTATGGATGTTCGCTTTAAGTATTAGCCCCAGGGGACTTTTGAGAAAGCAGCATTTGGCCCTCTCCTCTCCGGAGTGTTAACGTACAGCTGGGAAGGGCTGGTTCAGGGCTCGACCGGGAGCTGGAACACGTTGCTGTTGACCCGATCGTTTATTGTTCGTAACTTGAATTCAGCAGTTTATTGTCTTTTGTTCAAAACTTTCCAAGGAGAAATTTGGTTGCCAGGCACAGATATTAATTTCCTTTGCACTGAAAACCGTGCAAAGTACCTTTGCCAGAATGTCATTAGCTCTGGATTTGGTTAGTGAGCTGCTGGAAGCTGCGCTGCAAGTGAGAACAGGCTAGAAGTTGGTCTTTACCTTGAAGACTAACATTTTCATGCCGTTTGTAGCAGCTTTTTCATTGGTATGGAAGTTTAAATTCATTTTTTAGCAACTTCTATGTCCTAAGTCTCCCTGCAAAGGTAGTAGCATCTTCCTTGTTTTTCAGAGCTTGGGTAAAATTGTTTTGGTTTTTTGGGTCTTAAGGATGAAAAATTTCATGCTTAAGACTAATATTTGAGGCAGAGAGCTTCACAGGGACGAGGCTGGGAAAGGGAAGTAGTTGGGAGATTATTAATATTATAAGCAACTGAGGAAGTCGGGTATGAATGTGTTGATAATATGTCTGAATCAGGGAGCTGATAATATGTCTGAATAAAACCGTGCCTGCTCTTTATTTGGGAGAAATGGCAGGTGGAGGAAACCTGCAAATTCTCTGTCTGTCTTTGCAATATTCCTAGAGATTTTTAAAGTTTCACTTTTGTTGCCTAGAGGTATCCATCACAAATTGATCCCCTCCTGCTCTCTTAATTCGACCTTTCAGATGCTTACTAAAATCGCACAGATAGGAAGGAAAAGGCCAGGCAGCGTCACTGTTGCTGTTCTGGCAAATGTTGAAATAATATGTACAGATAGTGTAATATTTATTAAGCTTCGTGTGGATACAACCAGAAAAATAGAATTTAAGAATATTGATGTGATATTGACATAGCCATGCTGGTGTTGCCACGGAAGCCGTAAGTTTTTGCTGATGTTTTCACTGCCGTTACTCTTTTCATGGTCATAGGTTTCTTTTCAATTAAAGGAGCATCACCATGAAATTTCATAATGTTTATGAAGTTACATACAACCAGGTACTGTGCTGAGCTCCACTGGGCTTTGACTAGTATGTTTTTCTGTTCCTAAAAAATATTTGCTCTCCTAAATTGAAAGGCCCAACTAGATAAATGTCATCTGCCCCCTCGCAGGAAAGGCAGTGAACGTGATTACACTGATTGCTGCGCAGAGGAGAGGAGGGTGAACAGACGGGAAACAACTTGTACCTCTCTTCCAGTCTTTGGTCGAATCATCTTGGATGCTGCTTAAAATCAGAGTTGTTTTTATTCATTTCCCATCTGAACTGCTACTTCAGATGTAATATTTAATCTGTTTCTGCCGCACGATCTGTACAGAAGCTATCAGCCGGGCCTGTCAGCGCTGAGTCAGTGTTCAGTTCTGCTCTTCAGTTTTTTGCTGTATTTGATTGAATCTTCCCTGCACAGTCCATCTGTCTGAACCTTCTAAATGTTGATTCTGTTTACTTTTACTATTCTTTCAAATATTAAAATTGCTGAAGAAACTATTTGCTTTAAGCCTTAAAAAAATTGACCTGGAGAAAATTTGTATGGCTTGCTTTGCCTGCCTGAGAGCTATACCCATCAGATACTGGCTGCCAAGAGCCTTGCGTCCCTGCTTCTCGATGGATTCCGTTATGAAATTGTATTTTTGGGGCTATGTCACTGCCCTTCTTAACAGGGGTAGATCTGTATCTTGGTGATGTATTAGAATATTGAGAAACAAATCCTGCAAACCATCTCTGATTCTAATAACTCTGCTTTACGCTGCAGCAAAATGTAGTTGTTGTGCTCATGCTACATTTAGCCGGTGTTTTATTCTCTTTCTGCCAGATTCTTCTTTACAATCTGGAAACAAGTCAGTGTCTAAAGAAGATGGGCAACTCGATAGGTGACTTTACGTGCGTCAACCTCCGGAACAGTCCTCCAAACATGCTTGTTACAGGCAATAAAGACAGAAGGTAGGTACTACCAAGAGCTGTAACCCATCTCAAATTAGCTTACTTCCTGTCCTGCTGTCCTACATCTGGACCTGTTAGAATTTGTTTCTCCTCTAATGTTTCAAATGCAGCCTGCGTGAACTTCAGGAACAAAATATTAGGTAATAGTTGGATGTGGCTGCCAGTTTGCTTTGTTTCAGAAAGCTCCATGGGAAGACTTTCTTTTTAAGCCATTTGGTGGACGCAGTTGGTGTACAGCCCAGCGAGACCACTTGGAATATCTTCCACTTCCCCACCACCACCCGCAAAATTAGTTTGGCATTTAAAAGCTCACTTTCTGATATTAAAAAAAATAACCTAAGGGATGAATCATGTAGGATGAGATGGGTCCGTCTGCCAAATGATGTCAAGAGTGTATTTCGGAACACTGTGATGTCCCTCAGGTGACAAAAAAAAAAAAGAGACTTTCATATGAACAGATTCCAGCTTCTATTTAGCTGATTAGCAGCTTTCTCTTTAACTCCTTGGCTTGGGGAGTAGGATTTTCCCTGCGCAATATCTGGTGCCAGGAATGGACGCGGTGGGAACAGTCGGTGCGAAAGGATTAAAGTGCTTAAAAAGACCCTTTGAGTCCAATTTTTAGGTTTTCTTTTTTTGGCTAGTTATTTGTGGGGTCTGATCCAGTGCACCAAAGGAGATGTGGGATGGCGAGGAGCCAGTCTCTAATGGCTCCCTGTTCCTTCCCTCCTCCTTTCTGCGCTGGGCATCAGGCTGCAGGTGGTGGTCTGGTGTGGTGGTGGGTATCAGATTGTAAGGCGGATACTTCCCCTTGCCAAATCCCAGACCTCTGTCCCGCCAGTGCAGCAGCTTGCAAAAATGATTATTTTGTCAAACAGCTTTTTTTCCTTCTCGGTGAACAGGCAGTGCGAGCAAACCTCACATTTCCTCAGCAAAGAGGATAAAGGAAATATCTGAAGTTTGACATGTGTAATTGAATCCTTGGGAGTTTTTTTCCTCTAAAAGCAGATAATTGATTTTCCAAAGCACCCCGGTAAAACTCCCTCCAATTTGCATCTCTTGCACAACGATGGGAGAGTAGATAAAGTTGATATCCCTTAAGTGAGATTGAAATGTACTCCCTTTATACTACATGTCTGCATCCTTTCTCCTCCAGAAAGCTTTTCAGTTTTTCAGCTCGAGTGTTGACTGAGTTCAGGGGTTGGCCATCACTAAAATTGCAAGAAGTTAGGAATCAGTAGTTCAGCAAATAAGTTTGGCATCCAGGAGACAAGACCACGAGTATCTCAGCGGTCAGTTCCGCATGTGGTGCTGCGTGATGGGCATTAATAGGTGCTGGGCATCCACGGGTGGAATGTGACTTGAACCTCCGTAGCCCTTTTACGGAGCAAGCGTACTAAACAGGGACTTGGCCATGGGCGTTCAAACTGCTGATGGCCAGTGGGAAAACTTACTGCTTGAATTAAATACAACAATTTCACAATTTTACTAGTATATGCTATTCTTTTATTCAAAGCCATGATTTTGAAAAGTAACACTTGTGAAATGGTTTTGGTAGGACCTATAAAATCTTTCAACAAATACTCCCGAAGCATTGCTGATTTATTTGATTACTTAGCTGCACTTCACACTGGCAGGAGATCTGATAACAGGGAGGGTGTGCACTGCACAGCAGCACCCTTTTTCGTGGTGGAACCTAAGACGGTGACCAGCATTGGGAAAGCAAATATATGGCAAGTCCGGTGTATACCATCGCTGAAAGGGCGTGGATCAAAACATGTATTCCATGCTCCCCAAAAGGCAAGGGAGCTCACTTCTGAGGTAGTCTGAGAGGAGAGCCAAAGCCTGGCCACGAGAACGCCTGCCTTAGGGGCTCCCTTGAACTGGGATGCATCTGATGTGCTCCCACTGAGCCCAGCTGTTGAGGCAGGAGATGCTGGGCCATGCCAGATCTGCATTAGAGCATCACATTAGATTTGCAAAATGCTTTTCCTTTTTGTTTTTTGTTTTTGTTTGGTTTTTTGTTTGTTTTAAAGCACATCTAAACAACTCAAGTGTGCCTCTGATTCTTCCAAGGGTGTGCCAGAATGGACACCTGCCTGAAACCTGGGCCCTTGCTAATGAAATAACCAGATCTTCCTTTCCAACTGTGCTTACCAAACAGAAGAAGCTTTGATTGCCGTGCAGAACACATGCAGTAAGACAGGGAGAGCGCTGGGTGTGAACACTTCCAAAATACCCCATTCTTACCCAAAGTACAGCTCTAATATGTAGCCAAAGCTGCTCTCTGCTGGAGTTGGAGAGAGCAAGAAGTCCTTTTCACCATCAGCGACTGTTGTGCTGGGGTTTTCCTAGGGGCGACTGCAGAGCCACACGAAGCGTGCTCCTCGCTCTGTTCCAGCATGTTTTTCTACATGTCAGATGGATGTTGCTCTGTTGGAGTTTTGGACGGTTCCGTTGCCTTTTATTTCAGTTGCTGAAACGTGTTATTTGTAAAATCATATGATGCTCTCTGCGTTTGAGAAAGGAAAAGGAAAGACTTGCAACACCATTAGGATCGTAGCAGGGGTATGGAACAAAGTGCAGTTAATGTGTTGGAAGAAGTGTGTTTTGGCCTTTTCTGGAATTAATGTGTACCTGATGGTTTCATTCTTGATCGCCGTCAGCTGGGAGGAACTTTCTCTGGCTGCTTTTCAGATCTGAGATCAGTATTTCCCCTTTACTTTTGTTTTCACTCGCTGCATTTTTTTAATTTGCTTATGTACTTTGCTTTGTCTCTTAATCTTGATATATAAGGATCAGAAAACATACTCCTTTGAGGTGTGTACTGGATTTAAAACTTAACACTGCTAGCTTTAGCTGGTTTTATGGACTTGTTGCAGTGGTTTAAATCTAAGTTTTTTCTTCTACAGTTCTGTTTCATTAAACATAGCCTAGTCTTCGATAAGTTTCTCTTCAAAATGCCTTGTCTGAGCGATCAATAATTTCTGCAAAAACAGACGTACCTAAAAGCTGCCCACAGTCACTGGTGGTGTTTTTGAAATCTTTTCAGAAAAGATACTGGTTGCTGGGTGCTTGTGGCCAGCTTTGTTTCAATATTTGTGAATAACTCAAGCGTATAAACCTATGATGCCCTTGACTTGTCTCTTGAATTGGCACATGTTTAGTCCCTTCCTCAAGCTTTATAATAGCAGTTCTTTCCTTGATCCTCATAGTAACATTACCCCTAGGCCATAGTGGACGTGAGTCTGGTCCCAAGGGGTAGGATGTGTTAGCAGTACGCCCAAAACGCAGTCCTTCATGGCTCTCAGCATCGCTAACAGTTTGGGAGGCACAGATGGAAGAGCTTTCTCCTAATTTCACTTACAGTTTATATCCCCTAAGATGTATAAAGAGACAGAGAGGTCCTGTATGGTGCAAGAAGTCTGCCTTAAAAAATCTTTCATAGTAGACATCAATGTGAAAATTCAGTGGTGAAGTGTCAGCCGTATTGGGTTTCTGGCCCTGTGGGTCTGCTGCTGTCCTGTGAAAGCAGCGTAGCTGTCCTAGATATATTTTCGTAACCCCAAAAGTATTTATGGTCTTAGGACCCACAGCCTGCAGATCCACAGCTGCTTTTATCTCTGCTCTTAATTCACTTTCCTTTAGGGTCAGGGTATTCGATCTCCGCAGAAGCGAATCTTTGTGCTCCCTCTATGCCCACCAGTTAGGAGTGTCTGCGGTCCAGATGGATGACTGGAAGATCGTCAGTGGGGGAGAAGAAGGCTTGGTCTGCGTGTGGGACCAACGGATGGGCACCAAACTCTGGGAAATGCATGCCAGGTAATTTTGTGGTTGTGGGATCCTATTGCAAGGGTGTTTATTGGATCTGGAATGTGGGAATGGGATGATCCAGGACCAAAATGAGAACGTGCCCATGTCTAAAGCTTCCGAGAGTTCTGTTAGTTTTCATGTGATTTGGGAACAGATTGCCTCCCCACCTGGAGTCTTGTGTGCGTTTCTGTGTGCGCCCTTTAGCTGTCGTAGGTTTCTTACTCATTAGTTAAAAAGCGTGCTTCAGTTGGCGTAAGGGAGCGTGGACATTGTTTCCCCTGCATCTCCGGTGAAGTTCAGGTAGTGTCTTCTCCCTGCTCCATCCCCAACCAGTATTTACTTTATTAAACCTTGGATTTGAAATGCTGGACTCCTGGCTGTTGTCTTCAGAGTGCCTGGTTCTGGCTGTCTATCCGCTCTATCCTTACGCAGTACCTGTTCACCTGATTCACGCATTCCCTTAGCGGTAACGATCAAAGCCAGGTTGGTATTTAAACTCATTTCAATATTAAAATACCAGTTTGTACTGAAAGCACAAGTAGTACAGTACTGGAAGTACAAGCAGGCATCAGGATCCTGGAGCTGACAGAAGACTGCAGCCAAAATTCTGATTTCCTGATCAAGGCCCACTTCCCAGGGAGTTAGCTTTGTCGGAAGGAAGACCACGAGGATTTAGCCCCTTGTAAGTCTGAGTGATACCCTTAATAAAATGAACGGATAAATCCTGATTATTTTTTTTAATGCATCTTCCCCCAAGAAGAGCTCGAGGAGGTATTTACAGTCAGAGAAGTTCACGTTGGAGTTGTCATTGATTAATAGCAGGTATCTCTTCCTCTTTTGACCCTGTGAATTATAAAGCCCATTGTGATGTGGCCGATGCATTAAGGACAATATTGCATCGATTGTCTCCTGGAGCAACACTAATGAACATGCCAAGGAGGGCAGGCGGTGCGGATCTGAGCTTTGGCGGAGTACTAAAAGTGAAACCATTAGATTAAACATTTAAAATACTGTTTCATCTATCTAGGAATCAGAAGGGATCACTTCAATCGAAAAAGCCTCCATAGATAAGAAGGTGCGCGTGTTGTTATCCATGCCTGCAGCCCAGCTTCATGAATGGAAGGCAAGGGCAGAAGCTAAGGGAGGTGACAGGAGACACATTGGGGTGGTGGAGATGCACCATCTCAGTCTGAGAGGATAAGAGGTTACTTCTACTTGAACAGTAAATGCTGCTACAGTGGTTCAGGGTTAGTTTATTCAGCAGGGAGAGGAAAAGGAATGAAGACCAGATTTCTCATGTAGTGCATTTCTAAATCAGTGGTAGCTCAGTGCTTGGAGGTGTGGGGGTCCGGGGTGTCCCCATTTTCATTTTGGGAAGCATCCTGCTCTTCCCAGGCGGGTGCTGCTGCAGTCCTTAAAGCCACAAAGCGAGCAGGCCGCCCGGATCCCTTGCAGCCTCTGTGCTGCCAAAGCCTCTCAGATATTTTCTGGCCTCCACGTGTGTTCTGGTAACAGCCCACTAGATGGGGATAAACGCTGTGTTTATCTGCTCCAGACAGGAGGAGAAGAGCCAAAGGTGCGGTTCCCAGCCTCTGGCCGTAGAGAGGGCACTGATTTAAACGAAGCCTTGTTTAATCCAGAGCGACTCCTTTACTGCACTTGGATGTTAGGAGTCGAACACAGGTGGCATCTCACCCAGTGCTGTGGGTTGTTTTTCAGACATCCGGTCCGCCACGTATGGTTTAATTCTCACAGCCTCATCACTGCAAACGTCCCCGATGAGAAAACTCCCCGAGGCGCCAGCATCATGGACGATGACCTTACCGCACACCGCAAGTGAGTAAACCAGGGTGGGATTTCTGGCACTGTGAAGATCTGCTTTATTACATATTTTAAAATGGTATGCTAAGCACCTGAGTCATGATCCAAAGCAGTAATAGACAAGGTATAGCATCTAAAAAATAAAATGAAAAAAGGTTTAAGGCTTTCAAAACCATTGAAGAATTGGCTCTTTATTTACTTCTAAGCACAAAAAAACCCCAAACATTTCTTTTTCAGCAGGGGAATGTAAAGGCCACTGAAGCCAGACAGGGAATGCAGCCCTTTCCTTGCTCTAAATATTAGTAATGATATCTCTTCCTAAAGGAAAACTACTGGTATTTAGACTCCAGGTTTTGGTATTTGCATCTCAGATGGCTGTTAGCACATCTAATTGAACTATCAAACTACAGTGTACTTATCTTCCCCCTTGCTGAATAGATGAGAAATGTTTCAGCAGATGAGTCGTGTCTGCAGTGCTAACGTGAATGATTCACCGTTGGTTTCCAGGGCTTGCTGGGGTCCCTGGGAGGAGGCAGGAGGGAGTTTTCTCCGTTAAAACTGCACGGACAGCCTGAGCGCAGAAGGGACAGGGTTTTATATTCAGCTTCTGAAGCATCAAATTCTGATCCTTTATGGGAATTGCTAACTTTGTTTCTTTCCCTTGTAGTATATAATTAACGTGTTTAATAAAATGGCGTGTCCTGGTTGTGTTCTGCACAGGCATCGAGGAATCATTTATGCCTATGAGTTCTCGGTGGACCAGTTGGCTGTAGAAAGTCTCTTCCTATGACGAAGTGACTGGTTACAACTACAACATCGGCCTTGCAGTTCCCTACGATAACATTTAGGTAACTCGCTTTACTTGGCTTCTGTGTCCGGCCCTCTGCCAAGTACACGGCCAAAGGCTAAAAGGAGATCCACGTGGGACAAGCGCCAAAAAGATGGCGTTGGCTGCGGACGCATCAAATGGGCTGAACGTTTGCCGAAAACTTGGGGATATGAACCAGAACAGAGAGCGTGGCTGCCCTCGAGCGTATCACTAAAACGTGTTGCTGTGCAAGTGCTCAAAGATCTGCTGTGGTGGAACAGAGAGACTGAAGGGAAACAGGACACTTGAGTGTAAACAAAAATGTTCCTTCCTGCTGCTCTTGGGAAAAATGCTGCTGATCCCATCTTGGCAGAGGACATGGTCGGGAAGCGAGAGCCCCGAGTGACAAACTGCTGACGTGGTGGGAGGCTGGGAGCGCGTTGAGGAGGTCATGCCTATCCTAAGAGGGGGAAGAAAACCACCAAGGACTTGGAAAAAGCATCCTGCTGGGCCGCATGTTTGAAATTTCTTTCCTTGTAATGAGCTGCTCATTCTTCTTTTCCTTGGAGTGCATCGGAATGTGCCTAGGAACAGGAACATGCACAAAAGGTTATGGTGGCTGGGAGGGGAGTATGATGGAGAGAGGGAGGGGAACGTTGGCCTCGGCCGGGCTGGATGCTTGGAAACTCATTAGACCACATGCATCAAAATTATTTTAAAATAAATTATTTTTTTAAGTCTCTAAAACTCAGGATTAAATGTTTTGTCTAATTGTGTATGTACGTGTGTTCGTGGGGTTTTTTTGTTCGTAAGTCTTCTAGGGTAAGCTAACCCCCGTGCACTGGAACAAAAGGCCGTCGTGTCTCAGGTTAGTTGTCAGGTATGGTCATGCCCTTCCACAGCACCTGGAGGTTCTCCCCAGGTGGCTGGGACTTGGGTTTCCGACACTGTCCTCGCTTCCAAGCTGGGAATCGGTCACGTTGGTGCAATGAAACAGAAGGGACGAACTGGCCGCAGCCGCTCTGCACGGGTAATCAGCACTAATGCTGTGGAGGAGCATCCAGGCTGGAGGGTAAGACGTGGTACCTCGGGTGAAAATGAGGAGTAAGGCTTTCTCTTAAACCCACGTCGCACTGACATAGGTAGAACCAGTTTGGCGAACAAGAGCTTGAGTCCTGCATGGATGTGTTTTACTGTTTTGAAACGATCTTATGGTATTGATTTGCCCTTGTAAACTTACTGGTGCAAGCCAAAGCCACGTAAATCAAGTTTAAATTGAAGTTAAGTTTTAACTTAATACCTTTTTGCTGGCTTAATGGAATGAATTTAAACATACAGTGCTGGGGAGGGGTGCAGGATGTGTGCCTGAACCTGCAGGAGAGGGGCTGGCCGCACTGTCACCTCAGCCTGGGCCGGTCACTGAGACAGCCCCCGGAGAGCTTCGTGCTGCCCGTCGCCTGCCCGCAGACGGATTTCACGGCCCTTCCTTGTCTTTGGCTCAGGGTGGTTCTCCATGCCCCCTAGGCCAACTTTCACCTGCGTGTTGGGTTTTTAGCAGTTCGCTTTTTCCTCTTGATGGGCTGATAGAAGAACTGCAAGGGGCAAAGTCATTCTGTCTGACCAATAAATTTTAACTTTCATAAAGCTTTGGTCGTTTTTTTCTTTTTTTCTTCCTCTGCCCTTCTGAGAAGCCAGGTCCCTTTGTTCCTGGAAGAGCAAGAAGTGTCACGGATACATAGTTTGGACAAGAGCTCAGCTGAAACCCATCAAATAAATAATCGTTTCTGTAGCACGAATGATTCTGTGGGTTGCTCCAGCCCTGTGTCTTCTGATGGAGCTGAACAGAGAAAGCTTCCGCCGTCATTGTTCTCCTCCCCTCTGTGCCGTGACCTGCTGCCCTGTCTCAATACACCCTTGGCTTGTTCTGACTTCGCCTCTCCTTATCTTGCCTCGTTATCTTGGGGCAGCTTTGTTCTTTCTTCAGCTCCCTGCTGCAAGTAGCAGATAAGTTTGCCTTGTGCCCGCGTGCGTTGGGCCCTTTTCCTGGCGTCCACCTCCACGCTCCCCCTCTCCTTCTGCACTGCCCGTGGCAAGGCTGCCTCCCTACTGCTCCTTGGCCGCAGTGGTCGCTGAGCTGCGAGAAGACGGATGCTTTGCAGCACCTGCATTTCTAGAGGTGTTTGCTTTCTTATGCAGGGAAGACCTACAAGTCATCAGTTCACTGGGGAGCAAGCATCAACCCATCCAGATGGAAGAAGGTTTCCAGTGGAGAAAAGAAAATCTCTGTCCCTACAGCCACCGTTTTGTTGGGTCACGGTCTGGATGCGGCTCCTCGGGGTGGATTGGAGAGTGGTCCTTTTGGTCTGTTTTTCCTATTATTGAAATTAATTTAGGAAGGTTGTACCACAGCAGAAGATTGTGTATGTATTTAACTAGCATTCATAATGCAAATGAGGGCACTTAGGCTGTTGGACGATAGCCATGTTGGGAGTTTAATTTTTGTTTCTGAAAAGGGATGTTGTCCTACTTTGCTGGGTAGTCATTAATACTGTGCTGAAGTGGGTGCTGGAGTGTAGCAAATGCAATCGTGACCGTTTACATCTTCTCCAGGGTTAGCTGATATTTAAATAGAGCCTCTTCCCTAATAACTTCAAGAGCAAGACTGAAGTCACCACCTAATCTTTACTGGAGATAGATGCCACCTTTGGACTGTCCCTGTGGAGACTCCCTAGGACGTGTTGGTGCTACCTGTTTGGGGTAGGTAGGGGCAAAGGCGGACTCTCTTCTCAGCAGATCCCTGTTGTATCCCACAGGCAAAGGTCATCACTCAACAAGGGGGCATCTCTTCTGTGTTGGGCAGTGCCCGGGGCTGACGGCAAGGGTTTGAGTTGAGGAGCTGCAGTCAGGACGTGCTGGACCAGTGCTGGCGGATTGACCAGGCAGAGGTTAGACTGAAGGTGAAGGCTCACGCTGCGCGAGAGCTGTGCCAGCCTGGTGACCATCAGATGGGCTGGGCGGTTGGGGACAGCTGAAGAATCAGAAGGCATCAGAGAAGGAAGTGGTTTGGGGCAAAGAGCCTCAAGAACAACTTCTGGTTTCTGTTGCTGGTGACAGCGATCCTTAGCAAAACAGAGACAGCCGTTGTCTTTGTGAGAAGAATCTCTGGACATAAGTTTCTTCCCTACTGTTCTCCAAAGAGAATATATGATCAAAGGGGGAGGCTGGCTGTGTACCGCAGCCTCCAGCTGCTCCCAGGCTCCGGAGCTCTGACTTCAGTGAAAACCGAGGGGTGGTTTCACTGTACTTTTTGCATAGCAAAACAGTCCTGATGCAAAGGATGTGGTAGGACACGCTCAGCTGTGGTGGTGTATTGGAAAAAAACCCAGCTGTCCCGCCACGTACTCTGGGTCCAAGGCACCAGCGAAGGCCCCAAGAAAGCGCCACCTCCGCCCTTCCCTGCGGCTCGGCTCTGCGGAGCAGCACCTTCCCCTCCCACCCTGGGAGCCTGGGTCTGGTCCCAACACCTGGGATTTGGGGAGAAGCTGAACATTGTGCTCTCGTGTGCGTGCGGAGGGAGGGGAGCACCGTGGGGCTGGTGCGAGGAGGAGGAGGAGGAGGTTCAGTGTCTCCCCTCTGCACCGGATGGTGCCGACGCGATGCAGCTGAGGATGAGCCCAGACGATGGAGGTGGCCGGAGGAGCAAGAGGAGAACAGCGCTGAAGAGTCGCAGAGCGCTGTGGATGCAAACAGGGCTGTGGCTGCCGTCGGGCAGCACTGGGAGACCCTCGGGGCCTGAACGGCTGC